CAATTTGCATGATTCTATCATAGAAACAAACAATTCATAAGATAGAAATGAGAATTCGACAGATAAATTGATTGTTTGTTTGAGCGTGTCGTTATTTTCGATGTTATTTGCTATTTAAAACCTCGAAATTTAATGAAATGTTATAAAATTACAAAAGTTTCCAATGGTAGAACTGTTTAATGAATTCATTTTATACGGTATCAGATTAATAGTATAATTAGAACATGCAAAATTAACTGAGATGAATGTCTAAATTGGAAATAAATTCTCAGTTTAATTCTTAATTCATCAGAAAATTTTTTGACTTCATTGTTCTGAGGTGAATAAATTTTAGCTGCAAACAGTCTCGAAAGATGCAATGAATATGTCGAATATCAAAAGGATATCGTGTATGGTTGATGGTCACCGAACGTATAGTTGCCTACGAGATGATGACGATGTGTATTTTCCGTTTGAAAAATTTCTGAAGAAACAATATGATGTGACCGGGAAACTAACTAAAGGTGATCCACATTCGCACATATTGAACGATGAAACTGCTTTTTTATCAAACTAAGAAGGCAAATCTAGAAACTACATGAATTCTGTGGTTACTGAAATTTTAAAATACCACGAAAGTGGAATGATTGTAGAGCTGAACGAAAATACCATCAATAACTTAAGTCTGAAATATTTCTAAGGACTTAAGTATTCCTTCAGATCATTGGAGAAAGCAGTAATTGATCTTTCTTTTTTTATTGAATCAGTATTCCTTAAAAATCGTCTATATGACCAGGAACATAGGCTAGGATTGCATAAATTTATTTATATGTGAATAGGTAAAATGCATGCAACTCGTAGTGTTTTTCTCGTTAATTGTTAATTACTAGAAAATGTTACTGTTTTGTTTATTGTCAAGCAAATCCATAACATTTGTCTGAAGATAAGGGAAACAAGGAGGATCATTTCGAATGGTCGACGTCCACGTCGAGAGTTCGCTTTCCGGATGAAGGTGAATACGATCCGGTTGGAACGTTTGGACATTTCGCTTCGTATAGTGTCGAGAGTCGAGATCGTGTGCGATGTATCAGTGCGCAGTATGGTAAAAGTTTATGATTTTCATTGCATTTTGTGAAGAATTTCTTTGAGTATTGCTGGCTTGACTTTATCAAATTTATGCTTATATACTTGAGGTGTTCCGTTGTCAACGCAGTGGTCATCAAAGCCGTATTTCTATCCGATTCAAATAGCGCAATACGCCTTACAACATTACAGCCGAAACCGAACAGGTATTCAATGATAAGAATATTAACGGAATAGCCATAATATCATTAATGTTAATGGTTCATTTGATATGCTGGGTAGATTGTGCAGGAAAATTTTAAGATTTTGTGAAATTTATTCGTTTTGATGTTGTTTGACTAATTGACAGATAAATATTCGTTTCTGATTCAGATTTTTTAAATTCCAATTTAGTAATTGAACCACAATTTCAAGGTCCTGAACCAGTGGAAATTGAGCTAGGCAAAGCACCCAGTGA